ACGTGTGTGTATTTGTGTGTGTGTGAGAGTCTGTGTGTTTGCCATGCTTTCTGTAATTTTAAATGCAGCTGTACGCGTGTTTGTGTACATGGAGTTAGCAAACGTTTAAGCAATGCATGTTATAATAAGCTTGCCTTCATACGAAAACAAAAAAAATGGTCTTTCACATACAATATAGTGCACATACAACCACTTAGAACCACCCACCTTTCAACCACTGCACCGCTTCGGCGTGTTTGTGCCACACTTCTCTCAGCGTCCTCCTCAGCTCTACATCCATCTCACTCTCTTCTGAGTCCACACTTGCACCTTGATTATCCTTTCCTTTGTTTGTACTGTTATCTTTGACTGTATTAATATCCTTGTGTGTGTTTGTATGTCCACTGGCGTCTGTTGCTGTGTTGTTGCTCTTGTTGATCTCGTCTCGTTGCCTGCGCATGCGCTCAAAGACGTCTTCATCGTCCGATGAGGATGATGGCACTACATCCAAGTACTCAGGCGCATCGCTGTTCCAGGATGATGGATGGGTTTAAGGGTTTGAAGGGTTAGGTTTTTGGGTTTCTAGTGGTGTTAAGGTAGATACAGGTGAATGGAAGATATCAAATGAACTCGCATGAGCATAACGTTACAAGTACTCCGACTCACATCGATGTTCGAAGGCTCCAAACCTTTTGGGAATAGAATATAATCATGTATAGTATATAGAACCATGAATGTGTTTGTAAGATAACTTGAGGTGGTACAAAGATATTCGCTAAATGCTGACCAATCAATATAAATAGCGTCAATCACTAGCTTGTATCAATGCATTGATTGGTCCCACACCATGGCCATCGCACAGGGGTGACAATTTGATAAGTACACCTCACGCACAACAATACATACGCTCTCGTTCGGCTCTCTTCCTCGGAGTTGTCTGATGTGTCTTGGTTTTTCATCTTCCTGCCCTTAGACTTTTTTTTGCCCTTCTCGGTGTTTTCTGCCTTAGGCACCCGCTTTTTCCTTGGAGGAGCAAAGCCTTCAGCTCGTGAGCGTAGCTCTTCGCTTAAAGGAATACCTTCAAGTGGGGGCGTGTATATACAGGACGAACTTTTAGTTTCTCATTGTGTATGCATATACGTGCATAATTAGCTTATAGTATGATGATGTGAACTGGTCTTGCAGCTCATGTCGAGGGGACAACGCAACAACTTGTAATAGAATCAGGATACAGATGCTCTTATGAATTCCAGCGACTTGGGGTAACATGCAGACAGGCAAATAAAAAGACCCGCTAATCCACATATATAATCCTGCCTGTAATTACACGATACATGTTGTATACCAATTTACAGAGATACGTAGAAACACATACACACGCACACAACCTCGCACACATACGACACAGGTATGTAAAACCTCGTCAACACGCTCATATATA